CACTACTTGAGGAAGGACACCAAAGAATTAAATAATCTAATTGCATACATCACTGTTACAGTTTACATGGGCAACTGGTAAGTCTATAAAATAAGAGGCAAATGTACCAGCTCAGTCAGTCAGTTTATAAATATTGCATAGTCCATACCTGAGCTCAGAGGCTCATCTGGCTGTAGCCTAAGTCTTCATCCGCAGCATGAAGCAGACAGAGATGGGACACCAGTCCTTCCCAGGCTGACCCCAGCAAATCCTGGAACCTATTTACTTACTCTTACAACTGCAAGAGATGCTAACCTGTGTCTTTACATGCAAGAGCCCAGTGCCATAACTACTCCAAACTTCCCCTAATCTTATCAAAGCAGCTTTTTCTACATGTCATGAGGGACAATAACAGCCAAGAACTGGATGCTTTGTGACTGGGCATTTTAGGAAGGACAGTTTTGGCTTCATCTGCTTGGTTAAAGGGCAGTAGGAAAAGGAGGCAAGATTGGGGATAGGGTGGAGGAGAGAGGTCGAGACAAATGCAGAAGCAGATGTTTGCGTATCGATATATATAGTTAATTTCAGAATTAAGCTGAATGGAATTGACATTTCTCTTGAACTTCAGTTAATATCTTCAGTTTAGCAGTCAGTCAGTCGGTAAAATCTCTGAAATTAATAACAAATTGACAAGTCGATTTATAAATATACCAGACTGTTGGAGCCCAGGACTCACCAACAACTCATTACCTAAAAAAAGAAGGAAAAGAAGATTGTACTTATAGAGAGAGGTTCAGTTTTGAACTGTAGGTCACAGTACAAGTTCTAGTAGCGATTATTCAGTAAATTTGTTTATGTTTAAAGAAATATTACTGAGGAATTTTAAGTATCTAAGATAGTCTATATGTCTTTCAGGCTGCCTGGGCTCATCCAGTTTGGGTTAGAACAGGAGTTCTCTGTGAGTCAACACACTAACAAAATGATAAAATATGTAATCTATTTATAATTGACTAACGAGCTGAAGATTTTTAAATTCGCTAGTTTTACAGGGTGACTGAGGACTGGTTAATGATGAGATGATAAATTTACTTATTGTTCAATAAGTACTGATTTTCCATCTAAACAGAAACATATGCTGTACTGTATATACAGTACAGTGTATGTGTGTGTAGACTATGTCTTGTTAAACAAAGTGAAGAAGCTCTTTACCATCCAAATTTCAGCTTTAAGACATTTCTTTATTATTTTAATTATTTGACATTTTGCATGCAATTATGATCTCTTTCAAAACAAAATGTATTTCCTTCATGCTTGTGGGTTTTACTGGCTATAAAGGAAGGGATTTAATTGGCTACACTTTTATTTACTTCATACAATACAATTGCTTAGGTTAATTTTCTCAGTTTATAGGGAAGTGAGTTTAATTCTTCTGGTAATTTTGTAATCTGGGTTTTTAGGATCTGTGCAAACATGGACAAATTTGCTTTTGCTCTGCCCTCCCCACCCCCTCCCCGTCCGATTCAGAAATGCCTTGTGACAAAAAGAACAATTAAGATCAAGAAGCCAACAGCTGCAGCTTCACAGATGTCTCCTAAATATTTCTAGGGCACTGCTCGGTGCAAGCCTAGCTTGTTTGTGCATTCTTTATCACCACATCCTGCGGCTGCCATTGTCCTCCCAGACTCTCTGCCACACGGAACATGAGCTGTGGTTTCACAGCCTACACGCGGAACGTCTATTTTCTCCTCATAAACACAGCAGTACCTCAGATGAAGCCACATCCTCTGCACTGCAAAACTCACAATGCTGAGTGAACTTGCAACTCTGCTGCTAAAGGTCAAATGACAAAGGTGTTTGTGTTTCTCTATCTTCAACACTCAGTTTCAACAATACTTTCCCCCGTTTTCAGATTATTATCGCTTCCTGGTGATTCAGTCATAATAAAACACACAAACAAGACAAGGCTGTTTACCATGTATATATCAGTGGTGGCAGGGGACTGTGTCATCTGACTTGATTTGAAGGATCTCAGTATATTACAGCTGACCAGAGAGCTTATGCACCCTTTTTTTCTGTAGCCTTTAATATACATTACCTGCTTTACTCAATTCTGCCTTTAAGGCGATTTTGAATTAGCATTTTGCATTTTGGTTTCTCTGCAGTGTACATATAGCATTTTAGCCTTAAAAATACTGTTCATTACAAATAACACAATGTTGTCATAAGAGTTTTCTGATTAGAAACTGATTTATCATTGCCCAGTTTCTGTGAATTGACTAGATTATTTTTGTTGACCAGGGCCACTCAAAGCCAGTGCCCTCTCAATCCACTCCACTGAAGTGTTTCGTAACAGTTCTTAATTTCCTATATCAATACACAATACTGTAAGTATCGGTATGAGTACAGTATATAGATCAATACAGTTATAGAAGTGCAGGTTGTGAGGACTAGACCAGGACTAGTGACAGTTGTTGACTGGCCCTGCTACAGCCCCTAGACCGTACCTTCAGAGTCTGTAATAGAGACGCACTACTGTCGGAAGAATTTCAGCACTTTGTTTTATCTGGGTGACGGTGTTGTGTTTCAGTAATTGATTAATCAATTTCTTTTTGAGCGCCACTGTTGTGGCAAGAGCGGAGTTCTGTGGCAGCTGTGATCTGTGATTAATCATGTTTCTGTTATAGGTAGTAAACAGAAGACTAGGGATAGCTCACGGACATAAAAGAAAGGACTGAAAAGTTAGAAGGGCATTTGGTACTGAAGGAAGATAAGTTTGTGGGTTTTGAGAGTAATTTTGTTTTTGTAATTAGTAATTTTACCCCCTTCATAATCTACCCTTAATGTTTTAAATCATCACCTCCATTCCGTTTGCTCATTTTTACTGGGAAGTAAGGGTACTTTTCATAATTCTGTACACTCTGTTATACTGTATACTTTGCTGCTAATATTTAATATGTTTTTATAATATATTTTGCAATATAAAAACACAAAACAGATACAATTATTTTGACAGATTTTTTTTTATTTGAAAACCTTTAAAAAACAAAGCTGATTGAAAAGAAACAGATTTCAGCTACATAACACATTTCATTTGAACCTAATCAAATATATGAGACAAATATGAGTCAATGATTTCCACTGACTCATATTTCTATATCATTTCATTGTCCCTGTCATTTCTATATTAGTTCTAACCGTAAAAAATATAATCAAAACAAGCAAGATGAAAGAAATAAGAACTTTCCACTAAGTTATCTGTTCAAAAACAGAGGTTAAAGAAGTGACACTGTTACAAACATAAACAAGCCTCACAAAACATTACTGCTTTGAGTTAAATGAGGGGCACATGGTCTTAAAATACCATATCATGCAGAAGCCTATGCTTAATAACACATTTCACAGCATTGTAACACACGGTGAATGAAAGAGTAAAGGCAAGATGTGATTTTCCAGATTAAATATATTAATGATAAAAAGAATGTGTGGCTGAAAGAATTTCTCGCTATTCCCTGAGCACTGATGTACTCCCAATTGCTTGAAAGTAATTGTAAAAGCTTGGAGATATGTCTTACGTGTTTGTAACGGGGCTACAATGCTGTGTCTGAAGGTTATATAATCAAGATGCACCATTTACAGTGATTTAGTAAAATCCTTGCTAAAACCTTCTAAAAATCTTAACCAAATCACGTCTTTACAGAAACATTTGGAAATGTTACAATATTTTGTGTTAGCTGGGTAGGATTGGGGCTCTGCAAAAAATAGAAAAAAAATAATCCATCTGCTATGTGCAATTTAATTAAATCGGATCATACTGTTATGAAATTTTGTGAATTACAAGTTTTAATTCAATCCAGTCTTTTACACAACTCTGAGTGTCAAAACAGTCATGCGAATTGTGTTTATTGCAGATATCACAAGGATTGTCCTATCAACAATACTCATAATAAAGTTTGGATCAGCTCTGATTTCTCTTTTCAACGCAACACAGGCAAAGGGGTCCCATTTCAAAAGCTTTTATCTGAATTCTTCCAATCTTGCAGTTTAGGCAAAGGTTTTCTCACATGTAAGCTGTAAGAATGAAAAAAAAAAACAGTATCTCAATCTTACTAACATTTTTGTTATACTATATTTGTAGTGCAGAATTATGACATATGACCAAACATATACTGTCTGACTTTTTTCCAACATTTAACAATTACAATGTACATATTAAAATACTGAACTAAACCTGCCACACAGTAATACTTAGCAACACCGTTATCAGACATTGCACTACATATTTTTCATTATACTTCTTTGACTTTCAAACTTCACCCACAGTTCATACTCCAGTCGCCTGGGCCTGATTTAAAAATCCCTGCTGCCCTAAATATCAAATAAAAAAATCAATAGTCGGCGAAGAATTATGTTAAGCTGCAGATTTTTAATGCCATAAAAATATTTTAGTTTTAATTCTGTGCTTTACCTTTAGTTTCCAGACAAGGACTGTGAGGAGAAGTCCGTAGAGAGTGCTCTTGCCGAGGAACAGCAGGTAGGTGAGGCGTGTCGACCTTAAAGTTTCTACAACTAAGCAGAGCAAAGCGTCGGACAACTCATGGCAAACCTGGGCTTGCAGAGAAACTGCCAGATAATGGGGAAACTATCAATTTGTATAGAACTGACAAAATAGTACATCATAGAGAGAATAATAGAATTCTAGTTATTACAGAATAAATGATGAATGTGAGCAGCAGTAGTAAATGTTCTTCTTTTCTTGTGGTTCAAACATTAAATGCAAAATGTTTCTGTCATTTTCAATGGTGTTACAACATCAGATTTCCCAGTTTAATGATTTTTGAATTCCCCTTTTCCCTGTGTCTGTGACATTATACTTCAATATCAAAAACCATGAAACACTTATACTTCTGTCTGGGGAAAACTATAGAATATTAATTCCCTATCAGTAATTTGAGTAGCATGTCTTAACTGAAGTTACTGAAGAATGAATAGGCTGCAAATACAAATAGTAGAAAGTGCATTTTGCTTTGTAATACAATTGGACTATACTGTTCTTTGAGCTTTATTTTTTAATGAGAGGGTGATAATTCACATTTAAAACGATGTAGCAAACAAAGCACCTACAAAAAGTGAAAGGTTAGATAACAGTTGAAAGAACAGCAGAATACAGTCCATCAAATGCAGTATATCGAGCTTACCTGCACCACAACCTGAAAGACAAAAAAAAAAGCTATTTTACAAGCTAATTTGAAATCTTAGAAAAGGAAATATCATATAATACTTATCTGCACAGCAGTTATGATAAATAAATAACATCAAGGCATATACTGTATTTATATAAGCTTGGTATTAGCTTGCAAATCATTAGATACTGTATGATGAAAAAAATATTCTCTTTTGTTTTATGCACATTAACTTTTATATTTTGTTTTTTTTTACAGAGCTTTGAAAGCAGGTCTGTTGTTAGGTATGTAGCTACTGGACTGGTCCAGTAATCGAGAAATTGAAATCACCACATACATTATACTGTCAGTGGTCTGTACTGCTTTAATTATTATTATAATAGTAATTCAGAACTCTTGAGAGGAGAAACAGGCTCACCCTGAATATACTGGTAGTAGCCAGTAATGCAGAATGATAGTATCTACTGTAACTCTTCATGACTTCTAAATGGGACTATTTCTTTAAATACTACCTGCAACTGTTTTTTTATAGATTGAAAATAACCTAGCTGTAAAAAGTTTTGATGGCATGTGCTTGTGTTTTAAAACAAATTAATGTGTGGAGACAATACAAGCAGAATAAGATCATGGTGTCAAGCTGTTAAAAGTTTGAACGTTTTTGAGTGCGGTTGTAGATTGAAAACTCATTAATTAGATACAAAGCTAAAGTACCAAAGCTGTTACTTACACCCATCCCTATCTAAGCCTGTTCCAGCCTAGTGACACCTACCCTCCTTTCCCTTGATGGATATTTCTACTGGGGCACTTTCATTGAAGAAAGTGGTGACACAGGTGAAGTTTTTCTTTGGAGTGAACCACTCGAGCGCGCTGACTCTCAGCCGGCTGGTGATGCTGTACTTTCCCTCTTTGTCCTTGATTGCTGTATCATCTGTCTTAACCCAGTTTGTTCGGTCCTGTCCACTGACTTTCCAAGAAACAGTGATGTGTTCGGGATAGAAACCTGTGATCACACACACTAAGGTGGCTCTTCCTTTGTCTTTGATTTCCTTTTTCGAGGGCTGAAGGATTTTGACAGTGGGCCTAGTGATATTTTTGTCTGAGGGAGAGGAACAGGAGGTTACCTGACAGCCAGTACTGTTTGTTTGACTTACACGTTCTTAATTAATGATTGCACTTGACAGTGAAGATGCGTTTTTTTAAACAAATAGAATGTACCCACTTTCATTGCTGCAATTCTAATGATAGCCCTATAATGAGTATGTTGCAGTTCTTAGTTCAATATTAAATTAAAACATAATGCAATTTATGCTTAAAAAACAGATTTGGAAAAGGTCTACTGACTTTGTCAAAACCGCTGCACTGAGACATTTAATCTCATTTCCGAAGTGCTAAACAATTTTAATAGGTTTAAATGAGTTTAGTGACCCACTAAACTCATTTATACAAATATTGTTGTTGCTTTTAAAAAACAGAACTACTACAGTTTTGCTGCTTCAACCCAATTTCTCCACCGTGAACGCAGTTGCCCGTGGCCCAGATATGGGTTGTGTCACACACCTGTTCGCCACCAAAAGTAGCTTTATTGTCACACTGGCAGATCGGTGAATTTCAGCATTTGTGCTGGCATGAAACTAATGTTGCAGTATTTGTTTTGCATTTGTCGTAACTGATAATATTTATCTTTTACTGTGCGTTTTTCTAATTGCGAATGTTTTCTATTTATTTTTAACAAGAAAAAACACACATTGAAGTAGATAAATAACACAATAAATATTATCATCGATACTAGTAGACCGTTATTTTCTTCTAAGGTGATGTTTACTAGCTTATTTGTGTCTTGTCTGTAAAGCACAATAAACTATCGGGCTTGCATATTTACAGTTTTGAACTATACAGTAGTTTATATGAACTTCGTCCTAAATTAGACAGTACCAGTTTTATTTTTCAATCTAAAAAACATTGTTTTCGAACAGCAGCCTGCGGCATTTTCAAAATCTGAATCACTGAGGTACAAAAACAGTTACAGACGATTAGAGAAGTACCACGAACGACAGCAAAACGTTGTTTATCTCATCTGAACAATCCACCACAGACGTGTGCTACCCATGCGTTCTTAAATTATTCTCGACATTTATGAAAACTAGTAGACAGTTCCGTATTTACGGCAGCGTCTTGAATTTATCTCGGGATTTTGTATTATAATAGTAACAGTCATATAAAATCACATTACTTTAACTCGCAGTTTATTTTTATAATCATTGCACTTATGCCTGTTAATGTAAGATCATTTTTATGTACATTTTATAACGATAGAATATTACAGGGTCATATTCTATATTTTTATATTGTATGCTGCGCTCGGCTTCTGTACTGAATACTGTATTTCAGATCTTCCAAACGTCTTTTCAGTCATACAGTATCGATTTTTCGTTTTACATATTTCTGGGACTTTTTCCGCAAAGGCCTTACATTTTAGCCTGAATATGCGACCTACTTTTATAAGTAAGAATTTGCAAACAAAACAAATTAAATATATTTGACTCACCTATGACAAACAGTTTTGTGCCATCGCCGAAGAAAACTGGATTGCCAGAGCACAGTGGTCTGAAACTAAACCAAATCTGTACACCCATTTCTGCAAGGCATGCTTATCTACAGGTGTTTATTTTGCAGAATTTGGGGTTTTCATAGATGAAGCAAAACTAACTCAAATGTATTTGTTATAAAGTGTTGAGTCTGTACTGTGAAACAATAAAATGCTGTAAGACGTGAATTTATTGAAAGGTTTTATACAATATAATTTGCAAACAGGTGACGCTTCAGGAGTTTGATTCTTTATAATTATACTCATTTTTTTAACTGAGTAATTAATAAGGAACTGCTTTCAGACAAATAGTGTGTATCTATACATACAGAGATAACATTTTCAGACTTTTTAAAAGCTGGATATCATACCTAGGACTATCAGTTTTGATCCTCTGCCGAAGTGCTGCTCATAGCCAGAGCACAGTTTCACAACTCATGCACAAAACCTCTCCAAATTCTATACCTAATCTCTGTCAAATACGATTATACATGAACAGGCAAAAATGCCTTTTTTTTATTTTAAAGACAAAACAAAGCAAGGGAAGTTTATTGATGTAAAAGTGATCGTAAAATATGGTGGTTACTGTAGCCCTAGTCTATTTTTTCGTAAAATGAAATGTAATCAATGGGAATGTTCTTATCCAGTACTGTCAACTTGGTTCCTTCACCAAAGTACAAAGGTGAGGGGCCAGAACACAGTGACACAAGATGTGTTCAAAACCATAGCCTGTGCTATGCACACATATGCACACTGAAGTGTTGGTCCAGGTAAATGCTTTTGGCTCCAATAGTTTCTGAATCAACTCGCCTTCATGTCCTTTACTCTCTGAAGGTCTCAATCTCAGATAATCATTTGAACTTGAAAATCTCAAGAAGTGTTTAAAAAACATTTTTGTGAACAACAGATATTTCAAGACAAACGTAATATTGAAAATACCTTACCCAAAATGATTAACTTGGTTCCAGTACCAAAACTCAAAGGTGTATAACCTGAGCACAGCGATTCATGACATTACCAAAACTATCACAGCTGACTGCCGCTTTGTTTTCTAGCAAGTGGTTAAACTCACTGGGGGCTCTGCAACTGTCATGAGGCCCACAGAAGTCTAACTTGGTAAAGGACTCTCTGCATAAGCATGTATTCATGAACAACATGACCTAATGTTTAACAGGAGGTATGGGGAGGTGATTGCTGGACATACTGTAAGGCTCCTATATATTATATATGGTATAATTGCATAAAGATTACAGTTAATCTTGGAATTTGACAACCAAATCAATCAAGTTAGCAGTATCAGTTCACCAGTTCATAATCTAGGCAACTCATGTCATTTGTTTTAGAAAGATACGTTTTGAAATCTTTAACATGTTGCCACAAACTGCTTTAAGACACTGCACACCATTCATGTGGAGAGCTCAGTGGCAGAGTTCACTTTCTGTCAACATGATTAACCACAACAAAAGATACATTTCTAAGTCACACTTTGGTCAAACAAAGAGTTGTGTCAGATATTGTACCAAGACTCCTGTAAAGTGAGACAAAAAGATATTTAAATTTTGTAATGTTGTAAATTAAAAAAAATATATTTTGACAGATCTTAGAACTGAGATTTCAGGTACAATAATTTTCAGGTTATATGTGAATAGCTTTAATTTTGTCAATTTTAATAAATAATGTATAAAATAACATTCTGTTAGTGACATGCAGTAAGCTATCATGTTATTGATCTTATTGTCAGAAATTATTTTTAAATAGTTCTGCTTTTGCATAATAAGTCAGTAAAGCAAAAATAAATATTTCCCTACTTGCAAAAACTGAATCAAAATCCCAAGAACAAAAGTGCTGCATGAAAAGATTGTACTTGATGACAACAAATGTTATAAAAGGTGGTAATTATGAAGTGCATTTATGAATGAGATTAAGGTTTTAACAAAAAACTCATAAACTGAACTGAATAGGAGTAGTTTTGACATCCATGTTTAGGAGGGATATACGGCAATCAGTACTGCTGTGGTGTCAAGATACATTGTTGGTGACTTGTTCAGTCACATTCCATTGTCCACTGTTTAATTAATGACCCTACATACTGTAAATCATACTTACAAACACCAAATTATGTTCCTTGTAAGTACAATCTCATGTTTCAGTCTATTATGTGCAAAGTATAAAGCACAGGTGTATGAGCACAGCTTTCAAAATTCCATTTAACATAATGTTTTCAGATAAATACCTTGTTAACAACAAGCCACTTCCTTCAATTGTCATTAGTGACAATTTTCCTATTTGTGTCATGTTAAACATATAAGTTTTTATTATTGTTAATTTTTGTGCACTGTATGCTAAGCATCAAAAGAAACAAGTAATAGGTTTATTCCATGCTGAAAAGAGAAGAAGGAAAACACAACATTTCAGATGTGGAGCCTTCTTCGAGTATGAAAGGTTCCACAGGCAAAACGTTTTGTTTCCTTTCTTCTCTTTTCATCATGGAATTAACCTATTACTTGTTCCTTTGCAGAATGCAGAATGACAGTGATAAACTGTAACATGGCACAACAACCAAATACAGCCTGTCGATGACAGAGCATGATACTGTATGAGCATTGAAGGGGAGGTCCAGGTGTAATGGTCAAAGCCAGACTGTCTCACTGCTACAAAACTCCACATGTAGTGGTTGATGGCAACCTGACTGTATACTGTTACATTGACCAAGTCCTTGGATCTCAATTGCCCAAGGACACCTGGGTACATTGACGTTGTTAAAAAGAGAGGCACAGGAGCATCCATGGCCATACTGGTACAGGATGCTGGCGATTATAGGAAATTGAAGGAGATCATCTTGGCCTAGGTGGGAGATTAATCATTGATAGCTATAGGGCAGATGCCTTTGCTCAGTGCCTGCTAGATGCCAGATGCTGAGGGCTGTACCCTATAGAACTTATACCAGTTTTATAAAAGTGCTCAAGGGGGTCGTCCTAGAGTAACTTACAAAAGAACTGTCCCTGTCCCTGCCTTAAAACTCTCACTGAGGCTGTTGAACTGGCAGAAAATCATTTATCTTAAAGGGTGGAGAGCTTGTAATTGTCTACCACAGTGGTTCTCTAACTGTGGTACGCATACCACTGATGGTACGCGGAGTGCCCCCAGGTGGTACGCCAGATGACACTGGAAATTTGTTGTGTGCACTGAAAATTTGGGACTTAAAAATTGAATAATTAAAAATTATGTAAATGTTTCTGTGATTTACTTTGGTTTCAGAAAGCTTGATACGGGTTTTTACGGAAGTGCATTGCTGCCAATAAGAAAACAATTCACCCCCTTATCTCGTAATTACGAGATATGTATCTCGTAATTACGAGATAACAATGCTTACGTCAACCTGTTACGTTGTGCACAGAACACATATAGAAGCTACGGTGAACTTGGCAGGCACTTTCGGTTTAATGATTGAGTCCAGCGTTGCGGAATTTGTACAGAATTCGACTGGGGTTTAGTCATAATGAAATCTTGCAATTTTTAGCAAATATGAACAGAATCATTACAAGCATGAGGGCCAGTTTTGTGGGATTTGGAGATCAAAGCAATGATGGTTCCGTTATGAACAGTTCCACGTGCAATCACTTCCACTGCTTAAAACTGTAAGTCTGCACGTAGCGATATAGGTATTGTAACGGACACGGCCAACATTACAGGTTGTGCGAGCTGGTTGCCAGCGTGGTGATGTCACCGCCCTTCCCTGTGAATAGCAGGGACCTTCAGCCGGCTGGTTCCCTGTTGAGTGATGCCAGAGACCCGGGTTTGAGCCCCAGCGTTGGAGGGCTGACCTGAGGCGGGAGCCATGAGGGCACAAACCCATGAGAACCCGAAAGCACTATAGTATTAAAGGAATAAATGAAAGGTTTATTCCATTGTGAAAAGAGAAGAAAAGAAAGACAACATTATGGCTGTGAGGCCTTCTGCCCTCCATCCAAGTGAAAAAAGGGACTTCCACGTTTTTTGAGATGTGCAAGCTACTACCAAAGGACCATCACTAACTTCTCTGCAATCACTGCTCCCTTGTCTGAACGACCCAAAAAAGGGTACTCCAGATACAGTCTAGTAGATGGAGCAGCACTAAATCCGTGTTCCAGACAATGATGACGATGGAGGACCTGCTGTGTTGGAACGCAATCATGTGCTGTCCAGACTTCTCCTTACAGTTTATTTTGCAGGGACTGGGAACAATGCTGTTTCAAAAGATCCGGGGAGTGGAATGACAGGCTGTCTACCTCAACAGGAAGCTCTTTCCTCAGTGCTACAACCCTATCGAAAGTGATTGCCCAGCCATCAAGTGGGAACCACAATACTACATAGCGCGACACCCCTTTACACTCATAACCGATCATGCTCTTCTGAGGTGGCTCCCTGTTGACAGGCGTGAGAAGATTAAATTCTGCAGACCAGGGCTCATGAGGCAGCCAGTATCTGAAAGATAGATTTTGGGACCATCTGAAGACAGACTGTTTCTGTGCCTCATTTTGTCTTTGTAATTATGAACATTTTGTTTCACTACATGAAAGAATAAGAGAGTAATTGTGCTTGTACAACACTGGTGTGCTGTTGATTTTTACCAGTCTGTTACATATTTATTATTGTCAAGAGACCCTGCAAGGCAATTTGATGCTACTTTGGTTTTTGTAGTTTGCTATGGAAGATCTATCACTGTGCCCCCCCGTCCCCACAGCAATACATTATCATTCAAAAACTCACAAACGTGTCATTTTCTCTGCTGACATCACAGAGATGGCTTGTTTACACAAATCAGGGCATTCCTTCTCTTGAAGATAATGTAATACTCAACACTGACACGCTTTTCCTGTTTACCTGAATGATCTAGTCTGCGTTGGAGGCTTATGTACAATATTTGATAAGAGTCTCCACCTACAACTGTGTGTGTGTGTGTGGGTGTATGTGTGTGGGCAAAATATTTTACACTCTATGTAGGACATGCATTTTTAGTATTTTTCATAAAAAAACAAATTTCGGAATACCCCTTTGTTAATGATCTTTTTCACTTCCTGATAATCCATTATGATCAGTTCAAATACATCTTGGGAAAATGTATTTGAATTAACTAAATTAACTGTCACAATTAACTAAACATTCTCATAATTTACAAGATGAGCGCATCTGATGTTTGACGTTTGCTTGCCATTCTGTCTGCCTTAAAAATTAAGAAAGTAGTGTTCATTGAAAATCCACTAAAACCATCAAGTTTGAGTTCTTGAACAAAAACAGTAATTCTAGATTTTGTAGCAGATATTATATTGTATGTTTCCCTGAACATTTGGAGGGTAATTCATGTGTCCTAGCATCCTAACAAAGCAACACATACAGTAAGCGTTTTTGTCTAAGTTTAATCATACCATATCTTGTGATGTGGAACAAAGTTTTCTACAGATTCACATGCTCCTATTGGATTTCATTCCAGTTAGGCTCATCATACCTGGCCTCATCATTCATCTTTTTCATTAGTGATGTTATATTTGTATCATTGTGCGTTCATGAATAAGAAAGAATCAATGACCAACAAGAGCAGAGGAATTTTCTGACATAATATTTACATTTCCTTTTGTTATTGGAATTATATCCCTGTACTTTGGGCCTGACTCTCTAAAGAGGTCATTATACAGTACTTATTGACCAGTAGAGCTTTAGAGCTCCTTAGATTTACTTACCTTAAGAAGGTGGCTGAAATGTAGTTCTATCTGGGTTCCTGCCTGATGTCCAACATATCCTCATGTTTTTGACTTTGCTCTAAGGTTTTTCCTTATTAACTTTAAATAAACATATGGCAAAATATCCGAGAAAGATTTATCGTCAGTACCAAAAAAATAGAAAAGTTACGTCATGTCGCCCCCTAGTATCATCTAAGAATATTGCAAAATTAGGTAAACCGGTAACTACTCTCATGGGTATAATTATGTAACTTTCACATAATTATTTTTGCATGTTTGTAAAATACACAGAATAATGTGATGTGATTTGTTTACAGCTGCTGAATATACGTATACATATTTATTTCTAGTTTATTTTATAATTTGATCATATGTATGAATCAGAAATGAACTCGTGTTTGGGAAGATTTCTACATAATTAACACATTACGTTTTCCGCAAATGCTTGTTATTGTGTATTTATTATAGTTTACAATACAATATTTTTAATACTTTAACCTTCTTTGTTAATGTTTCTTTTTTGTGTGAAAGAGTGATGCCATATAAGTGATCGCTTGTTCAATTCGTATCAGCAACGGAATTATCTTTTTTGTCTTTGGTGTATCAGTATTGCTTATATTTTCCTTATCAATGAATCACTGCTGGTGAACAGTCTGGGCGATTTCTAGGGGTTGAAGACTAAGTTATATCTGTGAAGATAATAAACTATATTCACTGTTTATGAACAGTACGTTAAATGCATGTCAAAAGAAAAAAAAAGAAGCAATATACGAAGCATTTTCATTTTTTTTGGTGACAGAAAACGAAAACCAGCCATATCCAAGTTTCTTTTGCTGTAAGATAGTTCTGTGTTGCGTCATTCAGAAGACAAAAGACAGAAATAGACCCTATGAAGCCCTTTGTTTCTGTTTCAAGGTCAGAGGTTGCTCCTTACACACCTGCGCTCCCCAGTAACGGTTCTCTGGTTTCTGGCGGTTCTACAATCTCCGGATGTTAAGGTGTAACCGAGTCTCTTTGCGAGTGAAAACTCCGTCATGAGGAAACTATTCACGCGAGCACAATGGTGCGGTTGGAGCTGGCTCTTTGAGAGCACTTTTTGACAAACGCTCCTGCCATAATTAACTGAACACCTGAAAAAATAAACCACCACCACTTGACCACACAACAAAGCTGAAGGAAATAAAAGAAAGAAGAAAAATCACTATAGTCATCTGCAAAAAATAGTTTATTTGAAACAGGCTTACATAATACTACATAGTGCTTATGTTGTTATGTCTTTCATTTTCTAATAATGCTCTGATAAAGGTTTAACACTTGTGTGGATTTTTTCTTAACAGCACCACAAATGACGAATTGTTTATTTGTTGCAAAGTATTAATTATAAAAACAATACATAAAACATCCCTAATGAGACTGATGAAAATGCTTGAAGGCTTACAGGATGGTGAACAAAGTGACTGTTCCACTTGGTCATGTCTGGGCTACCAAAAAAGGGCTTTGACAAGAACAACAAACTTACTCTTTTTCCATATTTTGTGATCATAGAAAATTATGGGGAGTACTTATTTTCCACTGAAAGAAAATCACAAATTTTAGCTGATTACATGCCAACATACAGTAAATGTTGCAAATATAAGAATGATCACATCTGCAAAAACAAATTGCCGATTTCTGTTTGATCCTCCAAGTATTGCTGGTTGTTTCAAAAACTGTTAAAATGCTGCCTCTCTAATAACAAATCTCATAATGGCAGTAAGAAAAAATGTGGTTGATTTCTTCCTTAGTGAACACCTGTGTGAAATACACATTTAGTACATTAGTAATTTTACTTTTATTATCTATAAATCCACCACTATGCTATTAATGTCTTGGACACATTTGACTTATTTTAAAATGCATTTTTTATCCTAATATTTTTAGTCTGTCTTCTCTGTCTCATTGCCATACTGTAAGTCCCATTGTCAGCTTCACATTTGGATTTTACAGTTTCAAAGTATCCTTCAAAGCATACAATATTATGGTCACAGTTCCCTAATAGTTCTTTCATCTCTGGTTGCTTGTTTGTTTTCATTTGAATAAAATGAGAATAATACAATCATTTACTTTTATACAGTAGGTGCTCCTACAAAAGGATGAAAGCAGTTAGCAGTGTTTTTCGTTTAAATGGAAGTTTGGGACAAGTTTAAATTCTAATCTCACACTTCCACTTTCCTACACATTCTGTACAGTATAAATATATCTCTTATATGATGACCATGTTTCTGGTGATTCCAATAACAGAATTGTCAGCAAATTGGAAGCTTCTATCTCATGCATTTGGGTTTCTACTGTAACTACCTGGTCTTTGTTTTGTTTTTCCTTTTGGGTTCTTTTTAAGACTTTACCCTCTCAGGTATCTTTCTTTTAGATTTTCTTTAGATTGAAGCATACATCTTTCAAGGTTATTTTAATTAGCAAAGAGTACATTCTAGGGATGAATTTCTTTTAAGGTTTCTTGTTGTAATTGGTGGGATGGGTTATAGAACATCTTAAATTTAAACCAACTGGCTTAACAGCATTTGAACAGAACTGAGTGAAGGGTTTGTTTTGTTATCTTGGTGTTTGGAGGTTTGCAGTGGAACTTCACAGATCTTTCTTATTTTGGTTCATCTTAATCTGTCTTGAAAGTAGTTCAGCAACCTTTTTTCATCTTCAACCCACAGAACACGTGTTTCATGACCTAGTTCTTGAACAACAGTCTACTTTCCACTCACTAATCTCACACAATCTTGATGAAAACAGAGATGGCAAACCACATCCTTTATCTTTTTTGTTCCTTGTATGTTACTGTTTACAAAAATGGTGTTTCAAGAGAAGTGTGAATACAGCATCACACACACATGGTTGTTAAGGCTGAACACATGTTGAATGATGCTGCTGAAAGAATCGGCCTTTGTTGGATCTGTAAACAATATTCTTGAGTTTACAGATGTTTTGGAGAAAAGCTTCCCTTTTCCATTTCTGTTTCTGATTTAATATGAGCTAGGATCTTTTACATGTGATTTGCCCCATCCCAACCTTCAATTCTAAAGTATTTTTGGGGGAGATTGTGGGATCTAGTCTTGCATGGCTTTTGTAGTGTGCCTGCTTAATTATGTTATTAAATTGTCTAAAAATAAGCAGCAGATGATAAGAGTTCTGGACTTGTAACTTCAAGTTTGTAGGTTCAAATCCCAGCTGAGACACTACTGTTGTATTCTTGAGTAAGGTGCTTCACCCTCATTACTACAATAAAATACCTAGCTGTAAATGAATGAACATGTACATATCTTCAAAAAAGGCCAAACGAAGACCATAGATATGCTGAAAAAAATGTTTACTATATAGCTGATAAATAGGTATAGCCTCCTTTCAGAAAATTTTAATTCCTATGTGGGAATTCAATTCTACCGTATCAAGCCTTATGTGACTACATACAAGAAAATTAGAAACATGCAATGAAAATTCACACATTCTTCTCTCAACAGTGTTTTAATGTCAGAAACACAATTTGGAAACTACTAAGGAATATAGATGATTCTGCATCTGTATACAGGTTTGAAAAAAGGATTTTCAAGAGACTTGTGAGAAAGAAAATGATTTTAATTCTCTATATAAAGAGAAGGTACAGAAAGGAAACAGATGGTTTTCACAAATTATATTTAACATTTTTTACAGAGTTAAAACAATGTATAACAACAGCAAATATCACTTCACTTAAGGATTAATCTAGATAATGTTTTCTTTTTGCCTTTCAACTTTCAGACACAGTTGAGTTAATTTTTCCTCTTCGTTTTTATATCCTACACAGGATATAAAATATCAGACAGCTGAAAAAGCGCATTGTAGATATTTGGATAATTATATAATTACAGCACAAAATAATAGAAGCATCAGACAGTACAAAACAACAATAACTGACAAACTTGTCAATATCCAGATTGTAGATTTGGCTTTATAAACAAATACAATATGTATATTGCCTTAATGATAACAGGAGAGGTGCCTTTACATTTACTACAGTTGTATGGTACTACAGTTATGACGGTTTACATTTACTTACAGTTGGATTAGTTTATTTTGAATATTAATTTGATTGTTTGTCAAGTAATGTGCATTGTAACCACTAATAACATATTGCTTCATAAATTCCAAAATAAATGTCTTTATTGACAGAGTTGCAGAAAACAAATACTTTATTTTTAGGATTTATGACAGACACAGAGTTCATATAGGTAAAACACTCATGTGTAATTCAGGGTATTAAAAAATTCTTTAGTGCAGCAGTAATTCACTTATACACTTCTGCATACCTCATTGCAAGTGATACTGTTCCCTTATAATTTTTTGGAACAAAAGGAAACTGAAGTTATACGATTGGTAGAAGGTCATGTTAGTGCCAGTCCCTAATCCTATAGCACATCATGGTTACCAGAATGTAAAGGAAATATCCTTTTATAAGCAAATAGAAGTTTCACATCTCTTCTTATGTGACTGGTTTTACAATCCTTCAGTTGTAATGTTTTCCTGAATTTCTCTGTGGAATAAAAAACAAACAAATGTCATGAAGCCATAAAGTCTCCCTGTACCAAAACTGAGAATTATTTCACAATAAAACATGATTCACTACAGTACCTGTGTCTCACATTACAACCTTTCCTCACCATACTATAGAAAATGATAAACTGACTTAAAGAAAAGTGATTTTCATCAGCATTTCCTTATTTGATCTGTTTTGGTATTCCTTTTTCACTGTATTCCTTGCTGTTGTTGCGTCTATTGATTCTTCTGAACCTGCTTTGTAGATTTTTGATTATATTTCTAAAAGTGGTATCCCTTTTATAATGTTTTAAATACTGTAACATTTCAGTACTGTTTACATCTATGTTCATCAAATATTTTCATATATTTAGAATTTCTATGTAACTCTAAATTATAAAGTAAAAAAAACACATAATCCTCTTTTGTCTACAGCTTGAGACTTCATGCGTGGTGAAGTGGCTAATTAAGCTGAAGAAAACTGGAGATGTGGCAAGAGTTCTGGTACTGGTTCTGTCTGTTCAGTTTCCTAAAGCTCTTTCAATGGTAATTTCTACTCATAGTACACAGGTGTTAAATCCGAGTTTAATCTGCTTATCTCACTGCACAACTTGCCGTTTTCTAAGGAGAATGTCAATGTGTGTACAGTATATTGAATTTCAATATTTATAAACAGCGTAATTTCCACTGAATTTTACTAGGAAATTGATTGAAATAATCCCAGAACTGTATTAGAGCAAATGAACAGGAGACTTAATATGTATTAATTTTTGAGGAAAACAAAATGAAAGAGAGGGTGAATGCTCAATTCTAGTGTATGGAATGTTTTAGTTGAAATCAACAGTCTTTGTTTGTGTGGAAGTCTTACCTTTATTTTCCAGGCTAGAACAGTCACAAACAGCCCATACATGACAGATTTGCCAAGGAAAATGACATAGTATGTGGATACATTTTTTGTGCTTCCCATGTAAGCATCTAAAACAAGATTGATAGAAGAAGTAACAATGAGCTATCAGAGATTAAAACAAAACATCCAAAAAACTCCAAATAGAACGTGATATTAAGAAATCTAAAAGATATTTTGTGGATTTAAATATCCACAGAAAAGTATCAACATATTAAGCAGCTTCAGTGATTCATTTAAAAATACAGTAGATATTTCTAATTATGCAGAGAAACAAATCTAAACATGTATGTGAGGGTAATGATTTGCATGGTAATTAGGTGTTTGTGTAAGGGGTTGTCCATCCACAAATCAAATGCATTCTGGAAGCAGAAGAATTTTCTTGGGTTTAGTCATTTGCTCTATGAGAACTAATGTATCAACAACAGCCTTCGTTGTACTGCCATTGATATGGAGACCTAATAATGACACTCAGAATCTTATGCACCAAATTATCACTAAACCTTAATATCAATTAATTGTGTATTATCTAAAAATGCAAGGTAAAATAAAATGTTAGCCAAGATAATGCAGACTTTGTACATTACAGTGTTAAAAGTAGCTCTATACCATTAAAAGATGCTTTGAGTTATATTTAACCTTGGCTTCGTCCTTAAAGTAATGTGATACCATGCATGTTCATGCAGTCCTGACCAGTTGAGGAGAGAGCAATGCACCTTATACTGTACCCCCGAGCAGCTGGAGAGGCTAGTAATAGGCTTTAAAAATTATAACAAAAACCTTTATTTCTGTTAATTAGGTTTTCTTTGTTAATTGAGGAAGGTCACATGGTCTTTTAGACACTAAATCATGGAATTCATGATTTGTTATTGATGCTTTGTTATTTAGAATAACATGTAATAAAATGTAAACTTACCTGCAGTGAGGCCACAACCTGCAATTCAGAAAAGAGTAAAGTGTATCAGAGACATGTCAATTAATCACTTCTAATTATTAACCCAAAACTCTAAAACATAGGATAAAGAGGGCCGTAAAGAAGGTCTTTAATACTTCATGGAAAGGATTTATTCAAAATACAGTCTGCATTCTGTTTGTTTTGCAAAGTTTTTTTTCTCCAAACAATGAGTAATCCAGATTTTTTTTTTAATATCAACATCAACCATAATATTAATGAAAATAAGTTAAACAGCCTCCTATTTTAAGCTTTATTTGTATTTTAAACCTTTCAGATAAACTATATTCAGAGGTCATGACTCTCTGTGGTCGTTAAAAATCCCAGGGCATTTCTTGTAAAGAGTAGGGGTGTAACCCTGGCGTCCTGGCCAAATTTTCCCATTGGCCCTTATCAATCATGGCCTCCTAATAATCCCCATCTATGAGTTGGCTTTATTACTCTGCTCTGCTCCCCACTAATAGCTGATGTGTGGTGAGCGTTCTGGCGCACTATGGCTGCCGTCACATCATCCAGGTGGGGCTGCACATTGGTGGTGGTGGAGGGGAGTCCCCATTACCTGTAAAGCGCTTTGAGTGGAATGTCTAGAAAAGCGCTATGTAAGTGTAAGAAATTATTATAATTATTAATTATTATATTCAAGTTCATAACTTTTTGGTGCACCTGTAGACGGTGCTGGGCATGGGGGAGAGCTATGAGAGAAAATGACAGTGCTCTTTTCTTGTTTGTTATATTACTGGATTGTTTTGGCCACCCCAAATTAAAAACAGAAGATTTTATTTAAATAATACCATTTGCCATTCTCACACCTGTGCTGTTTACATCCAGCTCAAGTATGTTTCAGTTCTCCTGTACCTACCCTCTCCATTGATCTGCACTTCATTTTTCATATAGGCGGACCCATTGTAGAAGGAAGTGATGCAGGTGAATTTTTTCTTGGGGTTAAACCATTCTGTTTCTCTGACTCTCAGCCGGCTGGTGATGCTGTACTTCTTGTCGTTGCCCTTGATTGCTGCATCATCTGTCTTAACCCCTTTTGTTTGGTCCTGTCCATTGACTTTCCAAGAAACAGTGATGTGGTCAGGGTAGAAACCAGTGGCCACACACACTAGCGTGGCTTTTTTCTTCTTTTTGATCTCTTCTTTAGAGGGCTTAAGGATTTTGAGGTTCTTGGGTGATGTAACAGGAACACTTGGGTCTGTGAGAAATAAATTTTAGATGAGGGGAGAATAGCAATATATATTTATGTATCAGTGAAAAATTATAACTGACTTCACAATCGGTACCCATTTTGTCACTCAGTAGCAGTTTAAGTTCTTTGCTGCATAGTGTGACTGACTTGTGAAATATGAAATCCATATAATTGTTATTTTGATGTATTATTAAACTATAAAGACATTCCTAATCTCTCTTGCACTGTTAAAATACCTAGGCAATGTTCACTGATTTTTATATCTGCCTTCAGAAGCATTAAATTGGTTGAGAGCATAAAAAAACTTTCAAATATATTATTAATTTCTCCATCGGTTTTATAAAGACTACAATAAAAAATAAAATTATGAATCTGAATACAAACATTATGTTTTTATTATGTTCATATGAAGTTTTTTAAATGATTATAGTTAAATTTATTTTGGACGTGTAGTAGCATTATCTTTTTTTAAAAATCAGTCTATAGGACTAGAGCATGATTGTATCTATAGGGGTGTCATAGCATGATACTTCAAAGACATTATGGGACACCTTTGAAATAGTTTTGCTAAACTATAAAATACAGTTGACATTTTCTAGGTCTAACTGTCTGTCTCAAGAGCTTAATGGAATTTTTGTCACCTACAAACTTTTATAATCCCCATACATTTTGTAGTTAGGAGAACAGTAAATCAACAAAATTAATACTGGAAAATTCAGGTCAAAAGTTCTAGTAATTAATTATTTATGTATTTTGGGTTCTACGTTTTTCGGAACTTAAAAAGTTTAAGTTTAGGCGATGTACCAAACATGCTACTCTTTGTAGCAAATAATGTAATTTGCATAAAGCTTTTCATTTCACTTTTAATTGTTGCTTTAATTTATCTAGTATATTTGACTTTTAATACACTCCATCTGTAACTTTCTTTGTATTGCAGATATGCATTTTCCTGAAAATGCAGTATATTAGTTTACATTAGTTTCATATACAGTATAGCACATTACACAGATATCTATGTATTTATTTTGAACTAAGTAAACCAGTATTGTTGCACCCGGGAAATTGTCAAAGTAATTTTGTACACTTGAGCAAATTTAGGTTTGCCTTCACAAAAAGTGTGAATTATTATGCAACCATTATATTTTAGCTTTTGATTTGATTTTTTATAATTGAGCGACTTTCACCCTAAGAAAGTGTTCATTTTGAGCAATTAAAATTTGATTACATTATTCTCTTTAAAAAGTGTTTAGTGCCTATTTCATTCAACAAAATGGGGTATCATTAAAAGGCTTTTTGAAGCGCTGTACATGCCAAATCTGAGTAATACTTCTTTTACTGTAGTTGCTATAGACATTCTTGGTGCTTTCTGAAATTAAGGAGAGAAAAATCATGTTTAGAGAATTAAAGTGCCCTGAAATTGGTTAGGAAAATTATTACAAAACCAAAACATCCAGTTAAATGTTTTTCAAATGATGACCACTGATACAAGTCAGATACTGTCTCAGTCATATATTGGGAAAGCTTTTAGAGGAACTTACTGAGATCAGACAAGAGACCGTATGTCTTTCTTGCTGCAATTCAAAACAATGAGTCCTTATAAAAAGAAGGCATTAGCCTCGCCACCCTATAACAAACACAACTTTTTTTTTAAATTATCACGAGTCAGAAATATTTTTATAAAACCGTACTTGGCTCTAGGTTTATCGAACTCCTGCTCAACTTTTAAGTTAACTCGATCTAGTGAAGTACCATTAGGATATAGGAAACCAATATTTATCGTTTCTATGACATTTTCTTACTTACTTACCTAAAACAGTTAGTTTTGTTCCTGCACCAAAGTACTGAACATCTGCAGAGCACAGCCATTATATAGTGCATAAAAACCTTTGCTCTCCTCTGCAAAGATAGTGCTTCAAATGGCTGTACTAATGGTTATCCTAAGCAGTCACCATTCCTCACCAAGTCAAAATTAATAATTGTTCCTCATATTGCAATCTTTGCTTCACTCCCCAATGTGGGTAGGATCCAGCTCATTTGAAGTATAAACTACTTTCTAAAAGTTGCGTCTGTGTGAGTTAAATACCCAACCTGTTTTACATAACGTATCATACCAGTACTGTTCATTTAAAATTTGATTAAACTCATTATTTTTTCAATGAAAATCTAAGTAGCCCAGCATCTGAGTACACAATCTGTGTATGCAATTTTACCAGCATTGTCTCAAGCCTGTGATTAAAAAACATTCCAAAGCACAGGAATATTCCTGATATAACATAAAATAAGGCCAACCTTTTTAGTAAATTAAAATAATTACATACCCTGCTCGTCAGAGTTTTATCCCAAAATCAACAAATATTTTTTGACTTACAAACTGCACATTGCTTAGACTTGTAATATTATTTTTACTGAACATAAAAGTTTCATTTAGGCAGCCACTGATTACCAGCATTGGTGAAAAAAGACACAACCATGCCTTTGGATGCCATCCAATAACTACTTTATGTTCTGTAATAATACTGTTTAATGTGACTGAGGTCTTAAATGAGAGCAGCCTTAATTTTTTCCAACCATTTGCTAAATGCTTCAGCAATTATGTAGTATTTTGCTTTCTTACCTAGTACAGTTAATTTTGTTCCTCCACCAAAGTGCAGGGGTGAAGTGTTGGAGCACAGCGCTCTACAACTTTTACAAAAATCCCATCTGCAGTTTTGCATACAATTTGAGAATTTATTTTACTGTTTTCTCTACAAGGGAACAGGTTTTCTCTACAGCTATAACTCTGTGGCAAAAGGTTGAAACAATGCTTTAGTTTAATTTTTTCTTCAACCACAAAGAAACTACAACATTACAGAGAATGTTGCTTTTTTAGCCCAGATGAAAGATAAACACCTGCACTCAAATAAGTGCATACATTTCATTAGTCAAAAATAAAGAAGGAGGCCTCTTCAGATAAACATGCAATCTTTTCATTGTTTAAGATCTATAAGATAATGATCGGCATACTGATTAGCATTTTTTCATAAAATACCAAATACTAAGAAGTAAAACATCTTTAAAGCCAATCAAACAATATCTAAATTTAAAGTATACAGTATATAAGTTATATACAAACTTTAAAACATCATATATTCAGTGATTCAAGATTTTAATGATTAGTCTGCAAAGGTTCTTATTTTTAACTTTTTGAACATCTGACATCATGTGTTATTTGCATAAACTCATTTATTAAATATTTTCTCCATTTAGAAAGGCTGTTTTTTAAATTCTAAAAACACAAATAAATGTAAGACTACATGTATGGTATGGTTATAAATTTAAGACCATACAATATGTCTATTAAATAGAGGTTACCGCAAAATCACAACAAAAAAGGTTTTTAAAATTCTAATAATCTGCTGCTTTTATTTTCTATTACAATGTTACATTATACAGTAAATGCTCTGCTGGTACTTTATGCAATGTTTGTTTGCAATGTTTGCAATGAAAATGTTTATGTATGCATTAATATAGAAAGAGAACTGGATTTTCATCTTCTGGTTTGTGTCTGATCAAAGACTAATTTGTCAAAATTACTTACAGTCAGTGAATCAACACTAAGAACATTTGTGCCCTCTGGTAATGCTATTTACCAAGATTTCATATGGTGTAAATATATAGATCTACATATACTTCACTTACAGTGCATACACAAGAGAGTTAATAATAAATATATGAACAGAATATGTTTTTTATGAGATCCACATTAAACCCATCCCACTGGCCAAAGAGCAGCTAGACTACACTGATGAGCCGTTATAAATGTGAGACAGTTGTCTGTGGCAGTTTGCTTTGATTTCTGCTTTTGAGTTAAGTTTTCTAACATTAAGAGTTAATTAAAATTCATACTGTATGTCACTCATACACAATACTATACACAATACTATACAGTATGTATGTTTATTTAAAATGAACCAAGAAAGATGACCAAGATCCTTCAGGTCCAAGTGCTGTACATCATAAAGTGAGGCTTGTTTACTGCTTTTGCCTTTTTACTTACCCAGAACTGTTAGCTTTGTTCCCTCTCCAAAGTACAGAGGGTAGCTGCCAGAGCACAATGCTAATATGCTGTTAGAAAACCGAGGAAGTGCCAGGCTATGCTAAAGCTACAGTACACTTTGAAGCCTATTGCATGAGTGACATTAACTCTCACTACTTATTAATATTTGATCATGTACAGTAGGGGCACCTAATGGAAATGATAATTTTGTGAAGTATTATGTGCATTTAATTCATACTTTTGTCATACTTATCGCCATCCTGTTTTGTTTCTAATAATACTATATATTGATTTTTTTCATGTCATTTTGTGCCATTTCTGGATGTGATTAACTGTTGAGGCTATCTTTCATATTTTGAACTTGCCTAGATGGTCTTTCCTGGTTTTGCTTTTGAGTTTTATGTAATCCAGCTCTCAGATCGGAACCTGGTTTGTATTATAGATTAAGGATTTAAAATCACTTCTCCTAAAGCTAACAGCACATAATGGTTCCCTGCTTAGAAAATGCATTCTTACCTAGAACTGTGAGTTTGGTCCCTTCTCCAAAGTAAGCAGGTTCAGTATTCACATTGTTAAGCAGCTGCAGAAAAACTGCATTTACTCAGAAAATATAAAAGGATTCTGGGCTGTCTGCCAGAGCACCTTGAGTAGGCCTCAAAATACTTGAAATTAGATTACACTGCAAACACAGGGTTTACCAAAGAGCACAATCAAAATATTAATAAATGTTCCTTACTAGACCTTAATCCTGCATAATTCTATTATTATCACGATGCAGTGTTGACAATACTGTAGCAACTATGCATGCCATTAAACGCAGTACTATAGAAACTGATGTAGCCATGTGCTTTACTTACTTCACAATGTTACATATATTTTAGAGAACCTAAATTATTCAGGATTCCCAGAAGTGCACTTGACGAAGTGCTCCTGAACACTAAAGAGTGGCTCAGAAGGCATCTTACCTAAAACAGTCAGCTTTGTGCCGTTCCCGAAGTACTGTTCTCTGTTAGTACACTCTGTGCTTTACTAGTAGCAAAACCAGCAGCTGCAGGTGCAGAGTTGTGAAATAAGTCTGTGCCTGCTGTTATGCTGACCTAGATACTGTGAGGAGATACAGCCTACACTGGCTACCCAGGGCACAAGGGTGATTCTGTTCAGCACAGTAGGAGCATAGCTTCTCTCTTCTTTTACAAGCATCTGAACCAAATGCATTCATGCCTTTATAGATTTAAAAAAAAAACATGAGATTTGGTTTACCACTAGGCAGTGTCTGGTTTTACCATAAATTCTGTAAATATAAAGCAGTTTTTAAAGCCCTAATCAAACACCACTCTAGTTTAAAATGGATAACCAGCTAAAGTTACACAGTGAACAAAGAGACACCGCTGCTGCAGTTGAAGACTATAAATTTGATCCATCCAACATCTTCCAATCTGTGTATTTTTCTTAAAAAGATATAAAAACAGTTGTGCAGGTATATGTTTTCTAACACAAGGTGATAAAATCTCCATGGTCTTTTACGTGCCTTTACCATCAAACTATAACCAAAATACAGAGCAAATGAATTTGCATCAGACTAAGCAAATAAGGCAGGGTCTTTATATGTAGTTTCTTAGTAGTATAGACCAGAAAGTTATTTATTTTACATTTAAATGTAAAGGATCCTGTTTAGCCAAAAAGGGTTAATTTGACAACTATTTCAGCATTAATTTGCCTTAGAATAGGGATTATTATAACATAGCTGGTATAAGTACTTTAATTAAAAAACAGGTCATGGATTTAAACAAAAAAGGCACAATTTTAACTTATTTAAAACCAACTCTTTGTGGATTTTTAACTGATTATTTAAACTATACAGTATAACCCGAGTTAATACCTATTTTAGTGTAGTTTTCCAGTAAGCCATTAATCTCACATTTTCTTTGACATCAGATGTACTTCATTGTACCATATTTCCAGCATTGAGAAACTGACACCAACGTCCAGTTACAGTCCTATATAATTCCTGCTTATATCAGCTCCCTGTGTCGTTCCTACAGTGATTTAATTCTCTTGATAACTAATGACATAGGAGAACTCGAAAGAAGAGAAATGCCTGATTCCCGGTTAAACTCCACTGGGAAGGCATTCCTCGCTGTGGATAAGAAGGAATTTTGTTGTTTTCTTACCTAGAACAGTGAGTTTCGTTCCATTCCCGAAATAAGCAGGTTGATTGTTCACATTGCTTAGCAGCTGCAGAAAAACTGCTTTTACTCAGAGACCAGAAATGGGCTTTGGGCTCTCAGCCAGAAAACACTGAACAGGCATTTAGCACCTGCCAATTTACACTACTGCAGTACAGGGGGCATGAACCTCTGTACCAAACCTTAACAGGCCATTTCATTCTGGTGGCACTGAGTCTTTTCTTCTCAAATTGTCATGAACTTAATTAACTTGCATTGTGGAACTTGCCATTGCAGACACCTGTAAGGGTTGGTCTTCACCTTAGATGGATTCCAAAGGAATGCTCAAAAGAATGTCAAAGACCACATGATAATTAACTTCTTATTTAAATCCTTGGTCTTATGCAGCCTCTATGTGATGCCACTACATTCATAATCCTTGTGACTACCCTTCCAAAACACATAGCAAATACATTGGTGTTCAGAACACATTACAAACTGTCTAAATTTGGAATACTGGGGCAAGCAGCCATTTGGCTTACTTGTGCTTAGACGTTTGCATATACTGTTGATCACAATTAATGTCTAAAAAATGTAAAACAAATTAAATGAAGCCATCACCTGTTTCTGTGGCCAGAGAACGTTGTCAATGTGCACTTTTAAATTTTTTCTAATTCAGTGTCCTAAGACATGTGAGGACAGCACAATCTATACAGGCTATTGACAATCAGACCTATGAATAAAACTACACTGCAGATAGAAATGACATATTTTGATGTTCCAGTTTTTGACCATGGGTAAATATACTGCAAGACAGTTTTTATTTTTTATAATACATAAGAAAAATATATAAAGGAAAATATTGTATAAAAGTAATTGTAATTAAAACACTAAAATTATGCAGAAGGAACCAACACATTGTGATATGTTGCTAGTTAATGCATAAAAAAACTACCCGTATTTTGCACAAACTGGCATCTTTGATTCTAAGGTACTGAGATTAGATTATTATCCTTGTCATAGCAACATTTTTTCATAATTTGTGTCAGCATCTTCCATCTTAACAGACATCAACATTGCAGACTTAAAAAGAGTAACTGCTTTCTGATTATAGAGTATTACTGCATTTGTTTTCTTACCTAAAACCGTGAGCCTGGTGCCCTGTCCAAAGAAAGCTGGGTTGGTAGAGCACAGCGATAAAGCTTAGTGTTGAAAAGCTTGGCTTCACTCCCTGCCAGTGAAGCATGACTACTGAGACAATCCCCACAGCCTAGTCGGACTTCCAAGATTACTTTGCACGTTTTTGATAAAAAGATGTTTTCAATTATTTTCTAACATGAATGTTTTGCTAAGTAACGAATAATTAACGGATTTAATTAAGCATTATAGTTTTCCCTTTTCAACTGTTCGTAAGTAATAAGAGGATTTTTGGCACAGTTGTAGGTTGTTTATTGAATACATAAACAAATCTTCAGAGAACTGGATTGTTGAATGTTTGTTACATCTGTTTCAGGTCCTGTCTATCACTCATCTTAATAAATTTGGTGTATGAGACATGTAACTGAAAGTTTATGACAATAACTTACCAAGAACTGTTAGCTTGGTGCCGTCACCAAAATAAGCCTCCAGGCCAGCATAGTGTTGAGACATCCAAACAAAAATCTCAAAAAGAGTCTCATCTGTGAACTATTCTCCCATCCTCAAATCTGACTGGACTGCAGCCTTACTTGAAGGCATACATGTTTTTTTTCATTGACAAAAAGTTATTATTCTATGAATTCGTATACAATCAATGATAAAAGATAACAGAAACTTTAAGGGCATTAGAGAGATTTTGAATCAGAATTCTCACCTAAAACTGTCAGTTTTGTTCCGTTGCCGAAGATAGCTGGATCGTAGTTCACACTGTTACAGAGCTACAGAAAAACAGCCTAGCCACAGAAACCAGATGAGCTTTGGAATAACTGAATAACTGCCAATATCTTACAGTGCTATTTCTCAAGCAGCTTTCTAATCTAGATTACAAACACTGGTGCACATTATCATCATATCTGATTATTCAAAGGCTATAAAAGGAATATTTTAAAAAAAGATTTATCATTCATTATTAACACAAAGATTTTTTTCTTTTTAGCAGAAACAGCATGTCTCTGGCCATCACTAGCATGTTTGACGTTTGAGTTAGAATCCTCTCAGGTTTTCATAACAGCTGTGTACATTCAAGCTATAATCATGAGTAAAGATTAAAAATATGTGTATCACCAAAGGATAGCTATGTCACTACAAGAGTCATTACAAGAGTAAACAAATACACTTTATGAGGAAAAAAAGAAAGTGCCGACTGAATTAGTTGAAACTTTTCAGTTTTTAGAATTTCTATTATGAATTATTGTTAATACAGCATTTCTTGCCATCTACTGTAACTGATCAATCCAGCAAAGAGGGCCATTATATTAAACTGTGTAGCATTTTTACTTTGATTCTAAATTTCTATCATCTCCTTACATCTACCTTAGCCATGATCACTGCCATTCACTTTTCCAACTGCTCATTAGATAAAATATAAATTCTATTTCATGTAATAATGTCAATGTTCTACTGAAAGCACAGACACTTTTTACAGCTGCTTAGAATCTATTGCTGGACAAAACTCTTTACCAGGCTGACCAGCATTTACAAACAAAATACAAACTTTCTGCTCTTTCAATTGTCAGTCACAAATGGGGCACTGGAGTATCAGAACAAGGTTCATTAAAAAATCACCTTATTTTTTTGCTTTCTTACCTAGTACTGTGAGTCTGGTTCCATTTCCAAAATATGCTTGAGCGGCATTCACGCCGTTCACTTGCTTGATAAGAACTGGGTAGCTGAGGCTCTGGTGATCTGGGCTGATAGCCAAGCAACTTTTCATAGCTTAGAAATGTTCTGAACTACGTGATCAAAGCCCTGTTCCTTTCAAACTGTTTCCCCTGTTCACTTCATTGTGTCCCTGCTAAGTAATTTCTTTGAATGATTTATTGCAAACTCCAGTCTCCATCAATGAAGTGGACAAGAAGTACTACAATAATTTGATTGCCTTTCTAGGGAACAACAGCTCAATGATTTTGAAACTATCTGCAAAGTTATGTTTCTGTCATAATTCTACATGGTACAATTGTTCCATTCCTCCATCTGTGTATTCAACATGTTTTTCCTAACACAGATTTATTTCTGGTTTCATTCATCAAGCAGACAACTATATAGTGAAACTCCACACATATTTGTCTGTTACTTGAGTATTTGTTAATTTTTTCCCCTTTGTTAGCATCAGCACAAACAATAAAATAACCAGTTACATTCATTTTCTTACCTAAAACTGTTAATTTTGTCCCTGCACCGAAAGTTGGTGGAGAAGATGAGCACAGAGCAATAGGACTATTCCATAAACGTGGAAGTGAGTCAAGCTTCTTTTTACTGCTGTGCATTCATTTTCAATGATTAAACATTTGCATAGTTTAGTATCTTTAGAATTGTATTCTGGTTGTGTGTATGAGATGAAGAATAATCATGATAGTAATTGATTAATCCATGTTTAACCACATCTTAGTATAACTGGTACGAATTTTAAAAGAAAACTTTCTCACCTAGAACTGTTAACTTGGTTCCATCTCCAAAGTATGCTTCTCTGCCTCCAGAGGCACAGCACTGAAGCCCATTGTTAAAATACAACAGCTGGAGTCTCCCAAAAACATTTTTACAATATGTTTGGGAAGTGTTGTTTTTCAAACTGAAAACTGACTGGTCATTTAATCTAAATGCAAACAGCAATTTCCCCAAATGTCCATTTTGAACTACAGTACATAGGATGCAATGTTTGCATTCAGATTATATCAGAAATTAACTTTTTCCCAAATTCACAAAATTAGCTTACAGTACATTCAAAGATTTACTTACCAAGAACCGTTAATTTTGTGCCTGGCCCGAAATGATATTCTGTGTTTGCACATTGTTTTGTTGATGTAACAAAAAGCCTTGGAGTTTTGAAACTACAGTTTGTTGCAGCTTGTCGCTCAGGATGTATCAGAATTCATTTAAAAAAAAACATTTATTTAAAAACATAGATTTACTTACCTAGGACTGTTAATTTAGTGCCTTGGCCAAAGTAGGCTTCATAATTAGCACAGTGCAAACTTCGTGTGTCAAAAAATGGAAAAACATGGCTCATCTGCTTTTATAACTACCAGTAATGCAAAAATGAACTTTGAAATGAAAAAACATGTTTGTACTCTTTTACGATCCAATGATATACTGTCCAAACCACCAACAGACCATTTTGTTTATGTTTTCTAGTTTTCTTATATTTTGATATTGTATTTTTGTATTAATGTAAGGTATGTGACATTTCATAAACACCTTGGTGCTTTTTAGCAGGTACTTTAAAGTGTTCAAAAACCCTTCAGGTGATTTCACATCAGTTTTTCTGGCCCTTAGATTTAATATAGCGTGACAAGTCTGGAAACGTCTACATAATGTGTACCTATTCAGTCTACATAAAGTCACTATCACCAGGTACCACACCCTAAAATTCTAAAATAATTTATAGTCCAAATGAAAATACAATGGATTTCTTACCTAAAACAGTCAATTTTGTCCCTTCACCGAAGTATGCTGGGGTGTTGTCACAGTATTATGAGACTGAGCATTAAAATCTCTTGCTCAATTATAGAAAGTTCTATCAAATTAATCAATTTATTGTTTGAACAAAAATAGCCTCGGTATGATAAATAAAATATATTTTAATTTCTGCCCTTCCATTTCAGTTCATAGAGCACGATAAGTGAATGACTGTGTGAATCAATGAGTCGACGAACATTTAATGTTTTCTAAGTTTTCAATATAAATTCTTGGTTTAAGTAAAGCCAGAGAGTTTTACTTACCTAAAACAGTTAGTTTAGTTCCATTTCCAAAGTACACTACATTTCCAGTGTCACACAAAGTAATTCTGTTACAAAAACAACCTATATTCATTTACCATCTCTAAGGAAACAGCTTTTCTTCTTTTTCATAGAAAATTGAAGATATGTCATTAATAATTATTTTAGGATATCATCAAATAACCTATAATTATTGTTCCTGGAGTTTTCTCTTATGAATTTAAAAGTAAGTATTCCAGTAGCCAAAGCATCTTCTTCTCAGAGGAATTTGATATAAACATACTGTTGCTTTCGGACATTGGATCAAAAATTGAAAAAGATGGCAGTGAAAGTTAATATTTCCTTTGGCTTCCAGGGGTGTTCTGGCCACTTTCATCCCTCCTGACTCCATACAACTGCTCATACAATAGGTGTTGGCATTTTTGCAGCAGCGCTTTTAGCTGGGAGGTTTTTGTACAGCCGGTCTATGGGAATGTATCACCGTGGCCCCCTGTCCCCACAGTGTTAGACTGTCACACAAAAACTCAGCTGCTCTCTGAGTCGACTTCCTCTGCCGGTGTCTGTCATGGAGCTGAGAGCACAGTAGGCTGATGGTTTCTATTTATACATCTCTGAAACAGCCCTCGCAAAGTCAGAAGTGCAGGTAATCTCTTTCCTTCCGGAAGGAAATGGGACGTCTCTCACCCAGAAATAATATAAAGCACGGCACTGTGCCATACCACTGACAAGTCTCTTTGGTAAAGGTGACTCAAGGGCATAGCAGGTTTTGAAATTCATGCTTGACAACCTAAGGCTAATGTCTCAGCAAATGATGTCTGTATTTACTGTATAAATCAAGATGAACCTAAGCTGACATGAAAATATTGTTTAAAAGATTATTTAAGCACTATGATCTTTACACCTTTGTCATATTTGTATTCTTTTGGGAACTGGATATTAGCAACCAAATTCTGTGAGTTACGTTTTTTTCTTTTTTTCTCTCTCATACTGTAGTTAGTTGTTGGCTTTCAAAGGAACTTTGTCATCATATCAAGAATTATCCAATTCTTTTTGTTATTGAAGAAATAGGTTTCTATAAGTTTACATTGCTCACTTTTTCTCTATTTCCACATTTAAAAGTATAAAAAATACATTATCTGAATACCCAGCTTCAAACTGGTTTCTTTTTCTACGGTTGACACAGGCAAAAAGAAACAAGATCTGTATTCATCTGTCAATACAGGAATGAGAGTCTCTTCTTCGACATCCAAACTAGAACTTTAAGAGGCAAAGGTGACGAGTCAGTACTCGTCAGAGCACAGAATATTTTAAATTCCAAATATTGTAAAAGAATGACCAAATTCATTTGTATAACACTGATAACATTTAATGTGCACCAGTGTAAGAGAGATAGTAATTTTGTGGTTGCATATACTCAATATCATTTTAAGCTGTGATGTCATTAAGCAGACAGTTTTATCAATGAGTTTGGCCTGATGACCAATAATTTAACTGAGAGTTGTATACATTTCATTGGGAACAAGCAATGTTGTTTCAGATGTCACCAAGTCCAGTGTACTGTACCTCCCCACATACTGCACATACAGTATTTGCCTAGGAATGCACTCAGATCACACAAACGTGTTGCAGAGATTGCAGGGAAAAGGTGATCATTAGTGATTCATTTATGATGTTTATCAGAGCACAGTATCTGACAGTGTGAGTGCAATTAATGAGCACTTGAGCAATTTTCACAATTACTAAGAAAACATGAATTCTGTTTATGCATCAGAAAGAGAGCCTTTTGAATCAGAATCAGAAAATGCACTGTAAATCCTGCAGGGGTCGATATTTGATAAGCTACCATAAGCTACTTTTTTACAACCAGTTCCTAATCGTACACCTAAATGGTAGCTGTGCACCTGCCGTGCAGCCTTACATCATAATTGAGGTTCAGGAAACTGTGGTATCAAATGAGTACAAAATAGGAACGTTAATAAAAAAAATTATACTGAAATATATATAATTAAACTCTGGAAATTATTATGGTAAAATTAAAATAACCCAAGTCTATCTTAATCAATATGCTTTGTCTTTTTTCTTTTTTTTTCTGCAAAATTTGTTGTATTTTTAAAATATATGTTCTTTATGTTCTTACGGAATGTGAGAAAAATCACACAAAAGCTATAGATCAGGAGCTACAGCAGGAAAAAGCAAAAGGAAAAAATCCATGGGCATAATGAATTTTCAAAACATATGATTTGAATTTTCAATACAAATACAAACTTCATTTGTAGTTCGTTATGTCCACTGATGATTTTGAAATCATTGAAGTACTTGCCATGCATGGGCACAATCTGCAATATTGCTCTGGAGAAAAAGTGATGACAGAAACTTCTTAGCATTAAAGCCCTTTGAAAGGCTTGAGAACATTGACAATAAATCTTATCTCTGACCAATTTATCTGTTAAAGTAACCATAGCCCTAACCCTCACTTTGGGCTAATAAAGATTTGAATCTTTTTAGGCTAGAGGTGTTCGCTTATCCACTAGGATCAGAGTAACAGTTATTGTGTACAAGATTGATTTCATTTGCAGCTGTGGCTGTATTTCCTTCTTGTTCATTCTTATATTTCATGTGAAGTTTGGGTTTAAGCTGAAACTGGTACTTTTTAAATTACTGAAGATTTTGCTCTTGCTATACAGACTATATAGGGTCTATAATACAGAATATATGGGGTATATTACACTTTAGAAAAAGTGGTGGAAGAACCTGGTAAGCATTAAAATCCTTTCTAGAAATTTTTTTGGATTGAGAAAATAATCTTAATAAAGGGGTTATTTATGGTGAACTCTAAAACTAAACCTAACACTTATCCAGGTTTTTAAACATTACTATACTTTATGTGTTTGCAGCTGTTGTTCTGCTTCATCCTTCTGAATGAAACATATTAACCTTTATTTCTGGTTTAAATTAATATATTGTTATGATATGTTTGACATCATTGAAGCAATGATGTATCATGATGTATCACAGTGGATGTATC